ATTGCGGCGGTTCGGTGCCGATCGACCTGAAGAAATGGCTTCAGAACGTTCCTATGCCGCCGCCCTCGCCTGTGATAACCTCGTCTCTGCCCCTCTTTCGAATATGTTTCCGCAACGATACCACAACAATTTTGCTCTTGGCATTGAAACTGGATTTCTCAAAAAAGCTTCCCGTAAAAAAGACAAAGCTGCAATCTTTCTCACTGAGGCAGAGATCTCCACCATAGCTACGCCCTGTTGACTGTTCTTAGTAGGTAAGTTTCTTTATGAAAACCCTAAACTTGAGCTAATTCGAAAGGACTTTGAGCAAATGAAGCTGAAAGGGAGTTGGAAGATAGGTAAATTGAATGGTCGTCACATTCTTATTCAATTATCAAATGAATAAGACTACAATCTAGGGTTTCTTTGAATGTGTTTGCGAGAAGAGTTCTTCGAATAGAAAACCAGATGATGAAGGTTTTAAAATGGACGGTGGATTTTGACCCTCGTACTGAACCTCTTACCATTCATGTTTGGCTGCGCTTCCCAGGTTTGAAGATCCACCTTTTTGATCAAAAGCTTCTTTTCGCTTTAGCGATGGTATACAGTAAACCCCTCAAAGCTGACACGCCTACAGTAAATCTGACTCGGCTTTCAGAAGCCAGAATTTTGATAGAAATGGATATTACTTTACCATTTTCGAGAGAAATATAGATTGACACGCAACATCAAAGATTTGGGCAGCAAGTAAAACTTGAACAGATACCACTTTATTGTACACACTGTCGTATGTTTGGACATATTCTAATTTTGTTTTCAATGTTATCAGTTGCATCCGAATTTAAAACCTTCAAGTAAAAACGCTTCTAGATCTGCCCCACCTCATACATGTCCCTCCTCCGCTCCTCCCACTACCAGAGATAATACTATCTTTGTTATTTCGACTGATATATTGGCAGATGGTTTACTTAGGCCCACCCCCTCCCACTACTGGAGACAATATTGTCTCTGTTTTTCCAACCGATATATTGGCAGATGGTTTATTTGGGTCGGATAATCAGGATAGTATTGAAGCTCCACATGCCCACGATGCATCAAGAGTTGAAGAGACATGCTTACCACCTCTTCAGAATCAGAAT